ATCTTCATGTATTGAACCTTTCTCACGAAGTGTTTTAACAGCCTTAATTGCATCAACTCCACCTTGTTTTATTTTATTTAACAAAGAAATTGAAGGTAATGGAAATGATTCTAGTAAAATTTCATATGCTTGTTTAGATGTATATCTTAATAATAAAGCATGTCTAATCATATCAGCAGAATATTGTGGTTGACCCTTGGCTTTATAGTATGTTCGACTATTTATTTCATCAAGAAGTTTATTTCTATTAGAAGAAGCGGTATTTTTTATGTACGCTGCAAGATTTTCTAACATACTCAAACTAGTTAATTTAGAATTACGACCTTTACATAACCATGGAGGAAGTGGAACATTATTAACTTTATATTGCAAAGCTACACATAAGCAATAATCAATTTTTATTGATTCAAGAATTGATGGAAAAAATGTTATAGGATCAAATATTAAATTATAATAAACTACACAATTGAGATGTTTTTTAAATTTGAAACCTTCTGGTGAATGTTTAATACTTAGCATGGTCCATTCAGTAACTTTATCATTTTCAGAAAAAGAACTTAGTTCATCTTCTTGAAAAATACGACTTTTAGGAGGTCTTCTCAAAGCAATAAGCGATGGTAATGTGGAAGGACGTTTTAAGCAATCACTGGAGAAAATTTCAGGAATAGGATCTAGATTCCAATTTAACTTGCATTTTTTACCACGGATGATAAACTTTTCATTAAAATGCTTTTCACACAAAACGGAGTTTGGTGAAGGCACCCAATCAGTACGATTAACAAAATGAACCTAATAATTCAGTAACTGTTGATTTTTTAACGGAAAATGAAAAGAAGCAATTTTTTTATCTTCTAAAGAACTGTTGTATCCAGTTTTACAACCATATGCAACACACTTGTTAACCATGATATGGTTCAGCTTTTTTAGTATTTATTAATTTTCTAAAACAGTTATTATTATATATATATATATATATATATATATATATATATATATATATATATATATATATATATATATATATATATATATATATATATATATATATATATATATATATATATATATATATATATATATAATATATATATATATATATATATATATATATATATATATATAATTTGCAAGTTCTACTTATTATGCAAGTTGCTTTTTATTTTGCATAATATGCAAGTTTAAAATTAATAGTTTTATCATTCAACTTGTTGCCTTTTTTTGTGCGAAAATAGGCCTCTTAGAATCGGCCTCTAAAATGTAACATATACGGCCGTATTTCTTTTCAATGTAATATAGTAAAATAGCGATCTCCAATGAGCCAATGATCTTCTACTTCTATTTATTATTTAAATTCAGCTTGATGTACCTTACGAACGAACCCTTACCTCATTATGTAATAAATTAAGTCATCAAAAGAAATTTTTTGAAAATAGATAAGGTTTTAAAAATAGTAAACACGAGCTCATATTTCACATTTTTTTATTCATAAATTACATAGCGAAATAAAGTTATAATCACAAAGTCTCAGCAAATACAACAACTAATGTCGTTTAATTATAGAGTAATATTATTAGCAAGCCATTGCATGCATGGCATCGAAGAATACAGTATAAAAGTAAAAAACTTTAGCTAATTCAGTTGATACAAAATACCAAAGAAAAAAAAGAAAAACAATAACTAAAAGATTTTCCGTAATACCCGTAATTGATCAAAAGGTATCTGACATAACCTTCTCTATGTTTTTGTTGACGAATTACATGTACTACTTAAAGTTAAGTTTACGGTAAGACTTAATAAGTTATTAAACTTTCTAGCCAAAAAGCGCAAAACTTTTAAAGAAATAGGATTTGCGGGTGTTAAACCAAATAAGTTTGTTATTATTTTGGATCTTTTAGATTAGTACTTTATTTCTTACTAACTTTTTTATATAATATTTGCTGTTGTTGGAATGCATTGCAAAAAACTATATATATATATATATATATATATATATATATATATATATATATATATATATATATATATATATATATATATATATATATATATATATACACCCTGTATATATATATATATATATATATATATATATATATATATACATATATATATATATATATATATTTATATGTGTCTATATATATATATATATATATATATATATATATATATATATATATATATATGTATATATATATTTATATGTGTCTATATATATATAATATATATATATATATATATATATATATATATATATACAAATAGTATGATGTTTCGATATATAATTACAAAATAGAGTGTTATACAAAACATTCAAAATGTAAATAATAATATTTATACAAAATATTGAAAATATAAAAACAAAACATTAAACAAAATAGTAGAGTAGAAATAGATTATAAATACATTATACAAAATAGAATGCTTAATGTTCTTAAAAGAACAGAGCAATATATATCAAAAATATATATATATATATATATATACACATTGCATGACAAAAAAAAATAGTTATTTAAATTATTCCTATTTTTTTTAAACCTTTTTTTCAAAAAAAAACTTTCTGGTTTAAAGTCAGCAATATCAACCTTAATGGTTGAAAACAATTTTATAACACTTAAGTAAGTATATTTATGTTGTCTGTGTGTCCAAAACCAATGGAAACCACAACTGGTATATCATTTTTTTGTTCAATTTTTTTTTTGTTAATTATACAATTTTAAATTGATATTAGGTTTTTGGTTAGTATGTTATTGGTATTAGGTTATTACCAGATTTACTACAAACATTTTGACAAACTGCCAATTAACATTGAAAACACAAATATTGTGACTATTGAGTTTTTTTTAGTTTTTTTATTGATTTATAAAAACTTAACTTTAATAATGAATTTAGTTTTATTTCCATATTTTTCAACAAATTAAAATTATTTAGCAAATTGACTGATTATTTCAGCAATATTTAAATTTTATAATACTTTATATATACCAAAACAATCTAGCAATAGCAAGTACCAATAACTTCAAGTATATTAACTGTTAAAAATGACATCCTAGTAACTGTAAGCATTATAATAAAAAACTGTGGATTGCACAGAGAAAACATAGAGTTCTAATTCACTTGCTTTGGCAACCTCACTTACTGAGTCCTATACTTTATATTTTTGCAGATTATCATCCACTACTGTCCTCTCATGGAAACAATACAATGGGGTGCAGAAATATAATCTCGCCTATATAGAAGCTTTGAAAGATTTTATGTTGATTAAATTTTATTTGTTTAATTTTAGAAATGATAAAAACACTTCAATTAAATCTGTTTAAATTTTAATTCAAATTATAAACCAGTTTACCGTGGTGCAAAACTATAATCTTGCTATTTAATAAAAAAGTAATGATTTGAAGCACATTTGATTTTTTTGAAAAAATGGAATTGGTTTTATTACAACTAAGTTAAATGTCCTCTCACCTGATTTAAATTCCATTAAGCATCTTAGCAATAATCAACAGTATTTAAATGTTGATGAATTGAAAAATGTAATTGTACATGTTTAGAAGAACATATCTCTTGCTGATCTCAGAAAACATCCAGAAAGTATGTCAAATCAACTATTTAAGGTTATTTATATAGTAGCAATAAAATGAATTATTTGAGTTAAAATGAAGTATTAATTACAAACTAAAATTAAGATACCTTTGAATATTTAATAAAATTGAAATGAGGTATTCCCTCATTTAATAAAATTGAAATGAGGTATTCCCTCATCTCGATTTTATTTAACAAATTTGCATCATCATTTTTCTAAAAATTTCAACAAAATGAAACCAGATTGAATTACAAATGAAAAACCAATCAAGTAAGATTTGAATAATTTAACAATTATGGTTTATCTATATGCAAGATATTTTCATTTTTGTTTTCTGTTAACTCAAATTTGATTAGTTGTTTTTTGTTAACTCCAAATTTATTGGTTGTTTTCAGCATTCTTAAGAGCAAACTCGTTAAAAAAAAAGAAGTCATGAAATCAAAGAATTAAAAAATTATTATTAAAGTTATTAATTGTTAATATACAATACAGTTCTTTATGTGTTTAAATTTTTTCCTATTGAATATTTGTAATGTCAGAATCAGCAATTCAGGTTGTTGTTTTTATAAGAAACTAAGCAAATGGGCTGGTACTAGAAAGTTGCTGATCTTAAGAGTTCCATTTTACCAATCTAGTATAAAAAGTTTCTTTAAAGTTTCTTAAGTTTAAAATTATCAAAAAAAAAAAAAATAAAATAAAATTTCATAAAATTTTATTTTTGATAAAATAAAAAAGATAAATTATTTAACAGTTAGTCAACCTAAACTATTTGAATTCTACCAATATTATTCAATGTGCGTAATTTATTTATTTTCTTAATACATTTAAAACAAACCCATTTCATTTGCGATTGAATGGAATTCCATTCGATAATGCATGCAAATTAATTACTCATTTAAACTGTTGTTGTCTATTGCAGTAAATCGTTTTTAAGTTCAATTTATGTTGTGAAATGTAAATGAAAAATTTATTCTTTGAACTCCTAATAAAATAAGTTTCTTATTGAAAAGCAATTTAGTACATAGTACTAAAAGTTTCTTAAGATTTTTGGGCTTTTAGTACAATTTTCTCATTAAAAAATTTTTAATAGAAAAAAATATTTTGTGATTAAAAAAAGCACATTTTATAAACTTATATTATATATATATATGTGTGTGTTCGTATGTGAATAATAATATTTTGTTAGAAAATTTTTTTTGCTCTGTTCTTTTAAGAATATTGAGTACTCAAAAACTACATATATATATATATATATATATATATATATATATATATATATATATATATATATATATATATATATATATATATATATATATATATATATATATATATATATATATAGTGTGAAACATTTAGACTTTATGTTTTCTATTAAGTTAATAATCCTCAATAAAAAATTTTAAAATTATACTTTCATAAGGCTCAGCAGATTTTAATTCATTATTTGGTATCACTGCATGATTATAAAAATCTTTACTAGATTCTAAATTAACACTTTCAGTTGAGTTATACTTGTCTAGCTCTTTAAGGACAGCTTCCATTATAGGTGTCATCATTGCTGTTGTAGCAGTATTGGTAATCCACATTGATATAAATGCAGTAACAATCATAAACCCTGAAATAATAATAGTGTAACATTTATTGCAACAAATATTATTTTTCATTTTATCAAACACTGCAATAAATAATATGTTGAAAATGAAAAATATATTACAAAAAGAGATACTTTGTGGAATCAAATTTTGCAATAAATAAAATACTTCAAAAAAATAAAATATTTAAAGAAATAAAATATTGCAAGAAATGTCAAAGAATTAACTCAGATAAAAAGTTACCATATTAGCAGAGATTTACATAAAAAATGAGTATCTTTGATTAGCTGCTTTATATCAATTTATTATTTCTTATACCTCTATGCTCAATAAAATAAACTAACATTTATAATTTTAACCATTATAATTAATTATAAATTTTACCAAAAACCATATCACCCTATTGCTTTCAATAACATTTTCCCTCAATCTTTATTCATATTGAGAATTATTATAAGTGAGTGGATCATTAGTTAATTTAAAATACGAAGCTTGATATTTTTAAAATTAACAGAACTAGTATTACTTTTTACCTAGCATAAGTCTTCGTGGTTGGGCTCCAACAAATAGTAAAATTTTAAGTGCAACTCTTTTGTGAACATTCCATTCTTCAATAGCAACAGCAATAAGTAAACCACCCAACAAAAGTACATTTGTGTCTCTCATATATTCTAAACAAACCACACTTGCCTTCACAATTCCAAATAGTGGAAGTAATATCAATGGAAGCAAAGATGTCACTGCAAGCGATGTAACTTCTGTAATCCAAAAAGTAGCCATTACAAGAATTATGTAAGCAGTGTGACTAGCCTAAAAAATACTTATACAAGAATTACCAAATTGATAAAACAACTTAAAATAAAAAATGTAATTAATCAAGTTTTACCATTGTATTAGATAATATAGGTAATGGACAAAAAACCAATGGAGCCAATGCAAGTATAATAACATTTTTGTATCTACAAATCAATGGAAAAATTCCATAATCACTCATTTTTTATGCAACCTATAAAAAATAAATATTACACTTTTATTTTACAAACACTAAGAAACTAACTATGTAAAAACTAAGAAACAAATGCAACTGAATATTTATTTAAAACTAAGAAACACATGCAACTGAATATTTATTTATAAATAACTTAATTGTAATCACTAAGCAAAATTTAAAGTGAGATGATTTAAGATTAATTTTAAATGAAAACAACTTCTAATTACCCACAGAAACAATTATTTTATCAAATTAACTTAAAATGCCAACAAAAATATGTTAATGAAATTTCAAAACAGAAAAAAAAATTATGAAGACTAGAGCTGAAACTTTAATGACAAAATTAATGGGGGTTTTTGTTTAAATATGTTTAATATATTTTTTTGCAAAAAAAAAAATTGGACATGTTTCTTTGAGACTTTAAAAACAAGTTTTTTCTTTTTTTATCAAATCTGCCTCTCTAAAACATTTGAGGTACCACTGTAGTCAAGAAGCTATTAAATTTTTTTTTATTTCGTTTATAACTCTTTTTTTCTCAACGCTAAACTCTGAAACACGAATCTTGTTAAACAAGTTTGTTGCGCAAAGAAACAGATTTAGTTTAAAAAATGTCAGGAAATCAACTTTCAAAAGACTTATCATTTTGAGGTTCTTCATTTATGTTTTGAGGAACCAAAACATTAATGAAACGCCTCATTTTTAAGATAAGATAAAAATTACATAATGAATAAAGAATATGAAAATATTAGAATTATAACTTTAATTCCAATCAGGGAGTACATGCTATAAGGTAGCATTATGGGAATAATCAGTCAATACACCAAAATCAAAAAAACCTAAATTTTATTTCTTTAGAACACACATATTTTTACATTTTTTTTCACAATCACCTCATTGTAAACTATCCTGGTCATCATCATTTGAATTAACATTTTCAGATGTGAACACAACATCAATCACCTTATTAGAGTTACTGAGGTCCACAATCAATCAATCAATATATTTTCACTTAATAACTGCATATATATATATATATATATATATATATATATATATATATATATATATATATATATATATATATATATATATATATATATATATATATATATATATATATACAATAGTGAGGGACATTTACAAACAGTTAAAAACTGATGATGCGTAAAGACCTACGATGATATAAAACAATTATTTATTGATGATATAAAACAATTATATATCACAACACTAACATAATCATTAAATTACTCTGGTTTAAACTAAAGGCTTTTTAAGGTCGAATATTTCAAAATAAATTGATCATTATTGGTTTTAAACCTGTTTCACCTCTACCTAATGCTTTACTGCAAAAAAGTTTTAGAGCAGTATGCCCCATAGACACTCTTAAAGCTTGATTTAGCAACACAAATATTCTTGCTAAATACATTTTTCGTACATTTTTCAAATATAAAATTGAGGTTGCCATTGTTGCTTTCTTAACTTGATTTCCCCCTTTTAAGCGTTGTCTTTCTTGATCGCTGAAAACCTTTAAATATTATTTTTTCTACTTCAAGTGTGGGTCAAACATTCAAACATTTTCCTTGTTTACTTTTGGTGTAACTTTGGTTACACTAAAACATTTTTCGAGCGCTGTTAAGAAATGCGTTACGCATTTTACGTACGAAGTTTACGCTAATCCAAAACATTTAACAATATTTTTAAATTTATATTTAAACTGTCTTTCAATAAAGCTTATTTATAAACAACTTTTCCGTGCAAGTCAATTCTTTTAAAGATATCTCTTGGATAATGAGAAACTGTTTTAGTAATGTTACATTTTATAGCGACTAACAAGTAACTTTATGTTTCCAAATTATCTATATGAATTACATGTTAAAATAATTCCTTTTAATTGCTGTCCATAATTATTTAAAAAATGCAGTACTTATTGTAATATAAATAATAAAATATTAAGATATTTTTTATTATTATTAATTCATATTTTTAAATTCAATATTACGATTGTATTATTATATATTTTATATTCAATATCACGAAATGTTTTTATGGAATAAGTTTAATTGATTAACATAAATTATGTTCATTAATATCTTCTCCGTAATCTAAAGTTTTAAATAATCTAAAATCTCAAAATATAAAGTGTTTATAACCATTTTTAAAAATAGTTTATTAAATAATTCAAGTAATTGACTGATATAAAATTCGCGAATAACTATTACCGCCTCACATAAAATAAAAAAAAACTAACGACAAAGCAAACAAATAATTAATTATGATATATATAAAATTATTTTAAGAAACACTAAATACCGAATTATAATCTCTTTTGAATACCGAATTTAGCTTTCATTGGTAACTTTTTAAATAGCTATGTTGTTTTGACAACATTTAACGCCGTTTTATTTTATTGAAATCGCGAGGATACTCTAATGACCCAATATAACTCCAGACGATACAAATATGTACAATACAAATTTAAGTGTATTGTGTTTTTCCGTTATGCCTTTTAAGCTACTTCGAAATACTCTAATGACGCATTTTAAATTTTAACGATAATAGACATGATCAAAAGATAATTTTGAAAAAATGCTTCTTAATAGCTCTAAATTCTAATTAATAAAATAAAACTTTTTTAAGTCAGTTTTTTTTTATGTCAGGTCAGGTTTATGTCTTTTTTAAGTCAGATCAGGTCTTTTTGATCTAAAGATCTTCATGATCAAAAGATAATTTTGAAAAAATGCTTCTTAATAGCTCTAAATTCTAATTAATAAAATAAAACTTTTTTAAGTCAGCATTTTTTGATGTCAGGTCAGGTTTATGTCTTTTTTAAGTCAGTTTTTTTTTATGTCAGGTCAGGTTTATCCTGCTACTGGTAACATGTAACCCAGTACAATCTGCTTCATGTCCTGCTGCCTTGTAGGATATGCCTTTTTAGGCAAAGACTAGGAGATGCAAACTCTGACATAAAACACCCCCTGCCTTAGGGCTCTTGGTTGAGTAAAGGCTAGAGATGGTGTCTCGATAAAAATACTCATCTTGGGAAGATGTTACATGCATCCAGCTGCTGTCTTGTAGAAGGCCTCCTAGGCAAAGACTTAAGGGGTAAACAGATTATATCTGTTGACCAGCCTCGCACCCCTTCCTCATCTATTAGGCTGGCGCAGATGTATTTTTAATACATTGTTTCCAGTTTAGGATGTTGAACGCTGGATCTTCTTGACTCGATTCATGGGTTTTGCTTGTGTCTCTGTTTTTATGACTAGGCAACTCATTTTATTATCTCCAAATGAGGGTACAGCTCTAAAACTCAGTTTTATGGTTCTGAGGCTGGCTGGTAGTCAGGTTTGCCAAACTCTGTGGTAGCTCTCAGAGAGGCTGATTCCATCAACAGCTGAAAAATATCAGAGTACTAACAGTGCCATGTTGCGCATGGATGGTGTCCCTGTTTGTACTTTTGGTGTGCATTGCCAAGGCCACATTGGAGCCCTTTGTTACGGCTTAGGGTTTATTAGTGGAAATGAGGCAATTGCTTGAGCTATAAAACAGTGTACTGAGTACTATCTATGTTTCGAGTCAAGTTCTTTAACAAATCTAAAAATGAATAAAGTAACAAAAACTATAACACAAAAAACCACAGTCATCACCAAGTTCGCTAAACCTATCATTCACCAATATTCGTAGTCTTCGAAGTAACTTTTCTTCTATTGAGTCTTACCTCTTGCAAAGTTCACCAGACCTACTTGCTCTTTGTGAGACTAATTTGAGTTTAGCTGTTTCATCTTGTGATCATAGTGTTGATGGTTATCTTCCTTTAATTCGTAAAGACTCCAATAGTCACATGCTTGGCCTGGGCATTTACATTCGTAAGAATTCACCCATTTGTCGGGAAACTAGGTTTGAACCCACAGACTACTCTTTTATGTGCTTTCGTTTAGCACCACTTCACTCTATCACCTTTCTCTTTGTTCTATATCGCTCTCATTCATCTCAAGACTGCACTCCTCTTGATGTTATTTCTGATTATATTGACCAAGCCCTCATTCTTTATCCATCAGCCAATATTGTTGTTGTCGGTGACTTTAATGTTCATCACACTGAATGGCTTGGCTCTAGTGTCAGTGACTCTGCAGGCATTAAGGCCCACAACTTTTGTCTTTCTCAATCCCTAACTCAAATAGTCAACTTTCCAAATCGCTTTCCAGACAACCCGAATCATTTACCTTCTCTACTCGACTTATGTCTTGTTTCTGATCCTAGTCAGTGTTCAGTTTCTTCACACTCACCCTTAGGTGCGTCTGATCATGGTTTGGTCTCTCTAAAACTATTATCTCATTCTTCTTTACCATTAGAATCCCCCTATCATCGTACATCTTACAACTACCTTAAAGCTGACTGGGACTCTTTTCGTGACTTTCTTCGTGATGGCCCCTGGGTAGAAATCTTTCGTCTCCCTGTTGACAAATGTGCTTCTTACATAACTTCGTGGATTCAGGCTGGCATGGAATCTTTTATTCCCTCTCGACGATTCCAGGTCAAGCCTCACTCTTCTCCATGGTCTTCCTCACATTGTGCTGCTGCAATTGCCAATTGAAACCATTAATTCCATATCTATCAGCAAAACAATTCTCCAGAAAACAGACGTCTGTTTATTACTGCTAGGAACCATTGTAAAAAGGTTTTGTCTAACGCCAAAGCTCGCTATTCTCAGATCATGAAATCTCGTATTTCATCACAAAAATTAGGCTCTCGTGACTTCTGGAGAATCTTTAACAGTATCAATAATAAAGGCAAGTCTGTAATTCCATCTCTTTTGTATGGTTCAGACTTTGTCACCTCACCTAAAGACAAAGCTGAATTGTTTGCCAAGAACTTTTCATCAATATCATTTCTTGATGCCACTAGTTGCGTTCTACCTGATATAGCCGTCAAACAGGTTGATCCATTGCTCGACATTTGTATCACTCCAGCTTCTGTATCTAAAGTGATTTCCCGCTTAGACTCTTCTACAGCTT